ATGATATCGGGAACCACACCATCGCGTCTTAGAGGAGATATTTTGTTCATTGCATTCCTCTCTTGTCTTATAATTTTATGGCCAAAAATGTATTCAATCAAAATTATTGCCATTAATAATAATACATATTTGCAATACATGTTTCAGATACTGTACTTATATTTTTAATTTATATTTTCAATATATTTATAACTTATTTAATAATTTAAACAAAAAAATAATTATTTAACAGAAAATTAAAATTCTTAAGCTTGTATACTTACCCTTTTTATATCAAATAATGGCTTAAGATTTGTGTTTAATTCACACTTTAATGATTTACAAACTTGTTTAATTGTAGTTGCGTTCAATTAATAATTATAATTATAGCAAATCTTTTACTTGAATCACTTTCTAAGGTTTCAAAATAATGCCTTAAATTTTCAGTAATGTTATTGTATTATAAACAACAAAATCAAATATTACAATATCTTTGTTAATGTGAATGTAATTCTAAATAAGACTAAATAACTCAGATTTATTCTTACTACTGTAGTAAGCTAAAAAATATTCAAGGTAATGCAAACTTATATTGCACTAAACAAAATATAAACTACAGTATACCGGTACATAATTTAATCAATCTTATCTACAATACAATATAGTGTATAAGGGCAAATAATTCTCAATTATGGTTATATAAAATTTAAATTTCATAAAATTCATTTAAATTGTATATTTTAATTAAATAGAAAATAATAGTAAATAATTTAGTAAATAAGTAGTAAATTTAACAATGAATAACCAATTGATATAATATATTATTGAATTTTAAATTTAGAATTACACTCATGAGTTATATGTGTTTCTAATAAAAATATCAGTGTATAAAATAATAATTTCTTGACAATTTGATACTGTACAGTATATATTTTTTCAAAAAACTGAAAAGTACAAATTTAATCAAATAGTGTTCCCAATCACATTATTATTGATTTGTGCAATACATTTCAAAAATAATGAATTAATAATTTCTATGAATAAATGAAAAAACATTATGGTATTTTGACCATTTTGACATTTCACCTTTGGCTTGACCTTTGGCTTGTCCTGAAGATATTACCTTTGCGTTTGTCCCGATTTCCAATAAACTTAACATGGTAATTTTTCGAACACTGTATACAAACTGTACTAACAATGCATTCCCTTCAAGTGTTCTTCAGGTAATAAAATAAAATAAACTGGATTATACTCGTATTATATGATATAATAGGACTGTCCAGGTCCGGTAATCTAGCGGAATGTCCTAGGTGTCCAAATCGGTGATTATATCGGTCGACGCGCTATACATTTTTGCTATAAAAGCTTATTAAACTACTCATTCTATACGAGTCAGAGTTTCAATACTATGAATGAGTGTATTTCACAGCAAAAAGTATAGAGTTTTTATAGCGCGTCGACCGATATAATCACCGATTTGGACACCAAGGACATTCCGCTAGATTACCGGACCTGGACAGTCCTATTATACCATACCATACGAGTATAATCCAGTTTATTTTATTTAATTAACTGAATAACACTTCTCGTTAACGCATTGTAAGATATTTTTAAGTGAATCATATACAGTACAGTATATGTCATATTATATGGCTCATATACTATATGATATACTAGACAGGTATTTTAGGGACATCACGACCTTGATATATAATTGTAATAAATAAAGGATATGGTCCAAATTCTCCTAAGCTGGCATTTTTGATTTGTTGATTGGAAATGAAAGCCCATTCAATGCTGAGTCCGAATATGCAATTTATATTGTCCTGTGACCTCGGGTTCGGCCGCAGTGACCACTTTTATCGGGAATATTTTTCATAATAAATATGGACATGTGATATATCAATTCAATAGAGAATTTAATACAGATTATGATCTTATCACTCAAATTACCAAAAACTTAATATATTACGAAATAATGCTATTTTATACATAATTTATATATAAAATGTGTTTAACTCAAATATAAGTCAAATCTTAAATGAGTCTAGCCTTCAAGCAACTCAGNGATATAACCTTCTCATTAGTATTAATAATATCCGTCTGTTTGTATACAACGAATATATATCTATGAAATCCTGTTCCCTTAAATGGGCCGGAGCCCATGTACTCAACCAATGTCTGCCCTTTACTGACATCAGCGCCGGGAATATTGATGACAATCCAATGTTTGCCTTCACTTAAGTTAGGGTCAGTACGACTGGGAACGTCGGGATCTGTCATCAATAGTGTGTAGTAGGAGTTGTTGTCTGCCGGCCAGTCCACCACCGGCTGATCCTTCACTTGAGTCGGTGTCAACTCATTGCCGAAGTTAACTTCAACTCCAGAGGAATACTTGATCTATATTTTCAGATAGTTTTAGTAACGCATTGACAATCAATTTATTGTATTATAGTTTACAGTAATCTTATCCTTTGGCTCCAAATCGATGATATCGGGAACCACACCATCGCGTCTTAGAGGAGATATTTTGTTCATTGCATTCCTCTCTTGTCTTATAATTTTATGGCCAAAAATGTATTCAATCAAAATTATTGCCATTAATAATAATACATATTTACAGAACATATTTTAATATTTTATAACTTATATAATTATTTAAACAACGAAATACTTATTTAACAAAAAATTTAAATTCTTATGCTTTTTATACCAAATAATGGCTTATGATTTTTTAAAATTCCCACTTTAATAATTTAAAAATATATTTAATTGTAGTTGCGTTCATTTAATAACTATAATTTAAGAAATCTCTCATTGTTAATTTAATCACTTTCTAAGACTTCAACATAATATCTTTTAAATTTTCAGTAATTTTATTGTATTATAAACAATAAAATCAAATATTAAATATCTTTGTGAATGTGAATGTTAATGTGTTATGTTTTAAATAAAACTAAATAACTCTCTGATTTAGACTTACTAGTATGCTAAAAAACTTCAAGCTAATTCATACTTACAGTATATTAACTACAATATATCGGTACATATGATAATTAAATCATTCTTTTATACAATACTTAATATTGCATAAAGGCAAATAATTTGAACTAATGATGTTTTTATAAAATTTAAATTTCATAAAATTAACTCAATTTTTTAATCTTTTAAAATTGCATATTTTAGTTAAATAGAAAATAATAGTCAATAACAATGAATAGCTAATATATGAATTTTTAATTTAAAATTACACTAATGATCTATTGTGTTTTAAATTAAAATGCCACAAAATAATATTAAATAATAATTAAATTTGTTGACAATTTAATAAATATTTTTTCAAAAAACTGAAAATTATCATTAATAAATAAAATGCATTCAATATTGTTCAAATCACATTATTATTTAATTGTGTCAACACATGTCAAAAATAATAATGAATTAATAATTTCTATGATTTAAATGAACAAAAATAATGAGATTTTATTTTTTAAAACTACAAAATTTTGTACAATAAATGCGATGATCTTGTTTTGTCATAAAAATCATTAAAACAATTTGTTATGATAGTATAAGTTTGTATAATAAAAAATATGAGGTTGGGAATCATTAAAAATAGTCAAAAATTAAAAATGTCAATCAAAATATACCGGTAATATATAAATTACAATCATATCGTTATTAATTAAAAAATTCCTAAAATCCAGAATATTCTCATCAGTTATTGTTATTATTGTTGATGTGATTGTTATTAATGAGTGGACTCTTGCCATACATAGAGTCGATGTCTTTCTGATAGAAAGTCTGTATATTCTTTCGCTTCAGTTTCAGTGCAGCGGTTATTAAGCCGTTGTTTGGGTCCCAGGTTTCGGTCACTAACTTCATTTTGGTCGGGATTTCCATCTTATTTAGACCCGAATCGGCACCAAATTTCATGCATTCCTTGAGTACTTCGGCCACCACTTTGGGGTTATTGAAGACGATTTGTTTATCACTTGAGGATATGTTGA